GTAGTAATAGTTTCCCGAGCTGGTCATGAAAGCCGTGCAGTGTTTGTCGCCCACGACCATCGGGATTTGGTTATAGCCCGAGTAAGCATCCATGAACGACAATGTTCTGTAGCCGGCCGAGTTGTCGACCAGCATGTCTATGTTCAGTAAAGGGAAAGCATCTTTCGGGCAGGCCCGGTTGAGATCGGTATAGTCAACACACATCCTCCATTTTCCATTATTCTTTTTAACAAGTACAACGTTTGACAGCCAGGTGGAATACTGGGCTTCAGAAATAAAATTTGCCGCTAGGAGGTCTTTTACAGCTTTTTCAGCAGCCTCCGTTTTCTCTGGAGACTGCCTACGCCTACGTTGTACTACATCCCTAGCGGTAGGATCTATGGCGAGGTGGTGACAGGCGACCTCAGGGTCGAGTCCGGGCATCTCCGCGGAGCTCCAGGCGAACAGGTCAACATTCTCGCGCAAGCAGGCCTTGATTTGCTTCCTTGCCAGGTCGGGGAGATCCTTGCCAATCTTCACTCCTTTGCTCGGGTCTGTGCCGAGGGGAACGAGCTCAAAATCCCCATTCGGTATCGGTCAGAGTGGAACTTGCTCACCATTAGGAGGTTTGTCTTGGTCGAAACGATCGTCCAGAGCTATAGAGTCGACCTTTGGTGGAGCTTTCTGGATTTCTTCCTTGGCGGACTCTTGCTTGTCGGGCTCCTGTCGCGTCCTTTTGGCGGGCCTTGTCCCTACGTCGACAGTGTCGCTCCCTTAGATGCAGTGTTGAAACACCTCCGAGCAGCGGCTAGGTTTCCTTGGATAGTAGCTACCTGTGCCCTTTTGGTGTAGAATTTCATCTTCAGGTGGACGGTGGAGGGCACCGCTGTCAGTTCTGCCAGTGTTGGTCTTCCCAGGATGCAGTTGTAGAGGGACGGGCAGTCGATGACGAGGAAGCGTACTTTGACCTATCTTGTCGTTGTCCCCTCGCCGAATGTAACCAGGAGCTCGACATATCCCCAAGGTTTAAAGGTCGAGCCATTGAAACCCTGTAAGTCCGACCCTACATATGGCGAGAGATGTGAGTCATCCAGCTGTAGAGTTCGGAACAATTAGTTGTACATTACGTCGACGGAACTTCCTTCGTCGACGAGGATGCGATGCACATCGAAGTTGGCCATTCTTGCCCTTATCAGTAAGGGGATGACCGCGTTGGGGGCTCCCCCGGGGAGCTCTTCTAGATAGAAGGTGATGGGTTCTGACCTGCCCTTCACCCTTTCAAATTTCACTGTTTGCGGGGGTGTCGCGTCGACTAGCTCATCCAGCTTCCTCTTTGCTGAATTAATGGTCAAGTCGTTGAATCCTCCACCGTTGATGACCATGGAGGAGGGGAAATATTCCCACCTGTTGTGTGTTGTGAGCGGCTCATACAGGTGTTCGGGGACGTCGAAGTCCTCGGGTCTGGTCACGGAGAAGGCGGTCTGGATGGGGACCGACTCGTCAGATGGTCGGGCGTCTTCCTCCGGCTCTCCTGTCTCCCGGGCGTCATGGCGAGGAGCGTCGTTTCGCCGGTATTGTGCAAGCCTTCCTCCCTTGATGAGGGTTTCGATGGCGTCCTTGCGGTGGACGCAATCCTCAGTCAGATGACCATGGCTCCTATGGTACTGACAATATTTGTTCTTGTCCGCTCCGGGCTTGGCGGGAGCGGGTCGGGGACGTTTGACGCCGCCGTCCTTGAAGTCCGTACTGGCACACTCCGCCAAGATGCGCTCGCGGGAAGCTGTGAGCGGAGTGTATTCGGTAAAATGCCTCGAGGGTCCCCGTTGCTCCCGGACTTCCCGGGGTATGTCTTCTTTTCTTTTCTCCCTGGTTCGTCGAGGAAGAGGAGCTTCCTGGCGCGAGTTGTTGTTGGACCCGCGAGTCCTGGGGTCTCGGGCTCTGTTGGCCGCTTCTCTCTCCTCGTAGTCCATGTATGCTCGGGCCTTTTCGAGGAGGGCATCGAATGTTCTGGGTGGCTCGATGCCCACGGCCTTTCTAAATTCCGTGCCGGGGAGGAGCCCCCTCTCCAGCAGATATCTCTTCATATGGTCCACGCAGGGGACCTGTATGGCTTCGCGGTTGAAGCGATTGATGAACTCTCTCAAGGTTTCATCCTGTCTCTGGATGATGGCCTCGAGAGCCGCCTCGGTCTTTGGGTGTCGGCGAGATGCCATGAATGAACTAATGAACTGGTTCTTCAGGTTCCGCCACGAGGTGATTGACCCCGGGGCGAGTCCTTTGTACCAGTCCATTGCTGCCTTCCTGAGGATCGTGGGGAACAACCGGCATTTGATGGCCCCCCCGACATTGTGATAGTGTAGCATAGCCTCGAACCCGTCTATGTGGTCGACCGGGTCCGCGACTCCATCGTATTCCTTCAAGTGCGGGGGCTTCTCCATGCACGGGGGGATGGGCGCCTCCATGATAGCTTGCGACAGGGGACCGCGGGGGTCGTCTTCGTCGCCCCGCTCTGGGGACAGAGATGGGGACCTGTAATACTGTCAGACACGACGGTCCTGGTCGTGCTGGGTATCTCTCGAGCGTGGTGCCCGCTGGTTGGTCCGTCCACGCCCGTCTCCAGAGTGTCTTCTCTCCTGTATTGCGGGGGCGCGGCCGCGTCCTCCGGCTTCGGTGATGGGTTGCCTCTCCAAAGGGGACCGTTTCCCCGATGGGCGAGGCGACGGGCTTCGAGAGGTATCTCTGTAATGTCTCCGCGGGGGAGACGGGAGATGAACTTCAGTCACTCGAGGAGGTGGAGTCTGGGGCCTCCGGTGCCTCCTCGGGGGTCTTCGATCGTCTTCAAGTGCCCTCAATCTTTCCCCTTGGGCGAAGATGAGGTAATTTGTCTGATTGATCGCTGCGAACAGCGCTCGGGTTGTGGCATCTGCCCCGGCGGGGACGGGGACTTCCTGAAACTGGGCAGCCCGATAGTTTGCGAGGGTCGTATCGTCCTCTTCGAGTGGCGGAGGGACCGAGGAGGACGACGCGGTAGCTCTGTCGCGATGGATTGAAGGCCCTGGGGCAGTTGACACAATGGTGGTGTTGTGACCGGGGTTACCGACGTTATCCAGGTGTCCATTTTTATTCGCGAGGTCGTGGTTGGTGTCGACGACGCAGATGTTTTGCTCATCACGAACTTGGTCAGCCATGACGGTGGTAGTTGAGTTGAGCTTTGGTCTTTGAGTTGTTGCAAGACGGGGAAGCTAGCTTCCCACAGACGGCGCCACTGATCTTACCGGATCAGACTTGGACCGTCACGACTGGCTCCGAGCTGAAGTTGAACGAGATGGGGGGGTACCTGCAAGGCACTCTGATGCTAAAGTGAGTGAGAGTACGAGCAGGCAAAAAGTATGAGAATGGGTAAGAGAATGAATACCTGACCCTCTGGGAACAGAGGGTATTTATAGCCCCCAGCGCTGGGCCAAGGTCCCTTCATTGGGCCGGGCAGGTTTGGCCCAATGAAGGAACTGCTAGGTTCTACGTGTGTAGTGGGGATCCGCACGTGGTCTCCTTCCTGGATGTTTTGCGAGAAGTACAGACGGACGAGGACGCGGTCTTTTCGGAATCCAAGTGATGGCGTAATGGTCATAGTCTGCCCTACGAGGGGCGCTCGAGCTGAGGTCGAGCTGGACTGCATGAAGTCGAGGATGTCTCACTCGCGGATAAAGTCGGGCACGGCTGTAGCTTCTTGGTCGGCGCGACCCCCTGCAAGGCTGTTTGGATTGGGCCTTCATCCTTGCTTTTGGGCCAGCCCGGCCCAGTCCAGAACAATAATATTTTCATATTTAACATAATAATAATAATAATAATAATAATAATAATAATAATAATAATAATAATAATTTTAGATCAAACAAATTAACATTTAAGTAATTTTATTAATTATTAACGGATATGGATACAAGCGTTCACGGGTACCATCAAATCCGTATCCGTACCGGTAAGAAAACAGATAACTAAATATCAATTTATTTAATCCATGAATATCCATTAGCCATCATATTCGTGTATGTGACAGGTTTTATCCACGTTTATTCCCAACTTCGATGTCTTCGTCTATCCATCACATCAACTCTTTTTATGGAATGAATATGCCATAATTTCATTTTCATCATAGATTTGATGGGCGAGAAAATAAGAGAAAATGTTAAGAATAATGGAAAAATAAATATTTTATTTATATAAAACACAATTGCATGTAAGAGCTATCTAAGATGGCGTCTCCTCCCAAAATTATATAACATTCGAGATGACGCCTAAGACTAATTTTCCAAGACATGCACTATCTAACTTGACTATTATATGTTACATTTTCTAAAACATAATTATTTAAATAATTTTAAATATAATTATTTAAATAATTTTTTCTAAAACATAACTATTTATGTATTTTCTTTCAAAACATAATTATTACTTAAAAAAAATTGAAATAATAACCTGTTAGAATTTATTAAAAATGACAATCAAAATACAAATTATTTTTACGGGTTCTTCCCCTGTCAAGAGAAAAGAAAAGAGAAGGTTAAAACCAAAAGGATTTTAACTCTTCCAACAAGTTCAACGTTCAACTGTTGATAGGTTTGTAAGGAACGGCAGCAGTCCAAAGCAATAAAAGGTTCGGTCAGACAAGAGTCAATTCCTTTTTTGTTTCTTTACCTACGATTCGGACGGACTAGTCACATAGTATGTACTCCATTTTCACTTGTGCAGCACACTACTTAAAAACTCGGTAATTTTCTCATCAATGGTAAAAATAAAGACCCAGAAAAAACACCATAAACGACAAAAAGAAAAACAGATGTTTAAGTTTAATGCTACTACCATTCGTGAATAATTAATTAAAACAGGGTTCAAAACCTATTCACTAAACTGTACATCAACAACATAGTAGAATCGAATCCAACCAAAATCCACAACATGCAAAAAGGTTAACTAAAAACAAAACAACCACCGTTATGTCCGTCCTCTACACCGTTCAAACTTCAAACAAGCGGTGCCGGCAAGTTCAGGTCAAACAAAAACGGCTTTTTCTTCTCCTCCTCCTTCTCTTTCCTCGCCACAATATTCTCAAGCTTGTAACCTTTGTACTCCGACCTCACCGGAGCACCCGCCGTGAAACAAACCGGAGGACTCCAAAACGCGACATGTCTCCCATTACCACCGTCGAAGGTTGGAGGCACTGGAAGAATTGTAGGAGCGACGAAGTAAGAGAAGTTGGTCTTGGCTTTGGATCCACGGAGGGCCCTGGCGGCGTCGTCGTAGGCTCTGGCGGCTTCTTCTGCTGTGTCGAAAGTGCCTAGCCACTTGCGGGTCTTTTTCCATGGATCACGGATCTCGGCGGCGAAGCGGCCCCATGGACGCTTCCGGACGCCTCGGAAATGGGAGTTTTTTGAAGATGAGGGTTTGGACGACGGCGCAGGAGAATCCGTCGGGATAGGGAGGGAATGAAGGGGCATGGGTAAAAGAGAGTTTGTGTGTGAATGAATGAATTATTGTGAAGTGTGTGAATGTGAATGTAGACTGTGTTGTGTGGGGGTGGATATAAATAGGGTAGGGACAGTCTGCGTTCACGCCGACAGGTTTTCTTTCTGGTGGTATTAAGAATCACTTTCTTTTAGAATAGTTTTTTTTCTTTTCTTGCAATAAATAAATAAGGTGTAAACGGAATATGGAAAAATATCTTCTTTTTTTTGTGTCGTTAGGTTTATTAGTTGCGTAATTTAAAAAGATTTGTATTGATTGTTTAATTTTTTAGTGTTTTATTTTAGTTTTTTTTGTCTAATTAGCGATGAATTTATCGATAGATTTTTGAGTTTTTCATGACTAATTAAATAAAAAAATTAAAATAAAATGTTTTAAAGAATTAAGAGATCAATATAATTTTTTTTTATGTTAATAGAGTAAAATGAATCTTGACGTTAAAAAAAATATTTTACTAATGTTGACAAACAATTTTCGATTAGGGAAATAAGTCTTTAAAATGTAAGATTTCTTTGGCTAAAAAGGCATGAGTTTGTAGGAAATAACATGATGTGTCGATCGAGTTGAAGGATATCGACCAGAAGAGTTAGTCGACAAGGACATGTGATTCGGAGGAAGCCATCGATAAGCATAGGGGTCGACGAGCAAGGATATATGGTGGCAGAAACGATTAACGTAAGTCAGTAAGAACGTAGGGATGTTCAAAGCAGTTTAGGGTAGTTCTCCACAAAACCTCAATGTGGGCTAGTAACTGTCGACAATTACATACTTATGATTTCTATTTAAGCAAATATTTATATTCATATTAAATGTGACATTTCTTCACATTTAGAGCATTACACTCAAAGTACACACATCTAAGAGAGAAACGAGTTCAGGCTTAACAATGTATGAATGCTTCCACATTTAAATTCATAGCAATTTCCAGTTTTCACATTTAAATTACATGTCTTGTCATTTATTTCCTTTACTTTGCAATTGTCTTTTATTTTTGCCCTTTTATCAAATATCAACAGTTTCAATCCAAAAACACTCAAAACACTAAGTCTAGGATTATTGTAGTCGATCCTGCAAGTAACCTTTAATAAGAGGCTAGCGATTATTTTACGGAGAAATAAAATAGCACATCTGGTGGGATGCGTTGTGTTTGAGTCTTCTCATTTTGTACATGAAACTGAGAAGTGGTAGAAAAATGGTAGATCCTAGAACTTCTAAAAGGGATCAAAACCTGTAAGGAAATACCAGCGCGACGACGAGTGTGGATTTTAGTCTGGTGGTCGTATTTTCGACGAAACCAAACATAGTTACCACAACACAACCAGTAACTGCAAGACCACCAATGGTCACAACTTCTGAGCAGTATGTGCCTAGTTTTACAAGAGAGACACACGATGATGTGATCACAACTTCTGGGAAGTATGTTCCTAGTTTTGCAAGAAATACACATAAATATGGAATGCCAATGGAGATGATGGAAGGACTACATAATAGTAGTTCGACATTTGGCGAAAATTCCGCATCGGCGTTTTCCCCATATCATGCTTCAGAGCTATTATGAAATCAATTTGGCCGTTCGACTGGATTGGGATTTTCCAACCAAATCATGCCTACTTTCACCCCAAGTACTGTTGCTATCATGATGCAACATATGGATGAAAGTAACTATAAAATGGTCAATATGCTTACTCAATAGATGAGTCTCATATTAAGACCTTTGATTGAGAACTCGGTGTAGAGTTATCAGACTTTAGCAACTCAAATGACTCGCATAGGGAATTTCCTTGGCGCCTTAAGAGTGCCAGTTCGACAAGCTACGCCTCCCCCATGTGAGAAACCGATGCAGTACGAGGAGGTGGTCGACAAAGCAGTCAAACAAGAACCACTAACTCCCCAGCATGTCGATCCTATGCTTAGGGTAGTACAATAACCCCCAGTAGTAATAGCAAACTGAAATCAGAATGCAAACCAGATAGTCAGGCAGGTTCGACAAGAAGCAGTGGCTGGAGAATAAAACCTAAAAGCCATTGTCGAAAGAATTATGGTTAGGAATAGAATGAATATTGGCTGTCATAGAACTACGTATATCTCACCATTTCCATATTTTGTTTTACAAACGGAGTTACCAAGAGGTTGGAAACTCCCAAAGTTCACTAAAATTGCAGGGGATGTCGAAGAATCCACTGTCGAACACGTAGCCAGATATCAAACAAAGCTTGCCGATTTAGTAGTGAATGAGGATTTGAGGATGAAGTATTTTTCAATTTCCTCACAAAGAATGTGTTTACTTGGTTTACAATGATTCTCCCATAGTCGGTCCAAACATGGATTTAATTAGTGAAATTTTTCCATGAACAATTTCATATATGACAGTCCAAAATAAGTAACAGAATTGTCCAGTGTTAAACGAAAGAGCACTGAGTCAATAGACCAATACCTCAACAAATTTAGACTTCTGAAAGCATAGTGCTTTACACAAGTCCCGGAACACGAGTTGGTCAAAACGACTGTAAATGGTTTAAAGTATTCTATTAGGAAGAAATTGTTATATACTCAGTCCTTGAAAGACATGGCTCAGTTAGCTATCAAAGTTTGACTGATCAAATTGTTGAAAGCTGAAAAAACCAAGCTAAACAAATACCACAAAAAAGTAAAGGTTGCTTACGTAGCAACTGATGAGTATTCGTCTGATGAAGACGAATTAGGGGAAAAAACAGAGGTTAATGTGGCTGAACTCCAGCCTACACCTCCTTATGCGTGTAAACTTTTGAAACCGTCAAACTGGAAAAACCCCGTCGAAACTGAAAAGAATGGAAAAGCCATCACCAAGACCTATACTTTCGACATAACCAAATGTGATAAAATATTTGATTTGTTAGTAGCTGATGGTCAAATTGTGGTCCCTCGGGGCCTGAAGAATCCCCCACTTGAGCAAAAGAAGAAAAGGGAATTATGCAAATTTCATAATTTTTTTGGTTATAAAACTTCTCAATGTGTTCTTTTCAGGGATTTGGTGCAGAAAGCTTTGAAAGAAGGCAGTCTTCAATTTGGCAAAAAGCCAAAAATGCAGGTCGACACTGATCCTTTGAAAGTAGAGGAGCCTTTATATTCAGAGTCTCTGGATTGCATGATGGTCGAAGCTACTGAGGGCCTCGGTAGAGAAATCATAATGATTGGTGATATAAAAGTTATGATGGTTCGAACTGATGATGGTTTAGACATGAAGATGGAAGAGGGATTACAGACAATGTACCTCAACCTGAAGAGAGTTTGGCTGACTTTCATGAAAAATGTAGAGTGAAAGGGTCGAAGGCAAAATTATGCCCAAGATGCAACACTGTGTATGATGAAGAAGCAGTTGAGAAATATGAAGTTATAAAAAAAGAGGCTCTTAAGAAAGGGAAACCTCCAGTTACAAGGTTTGTTTTCGACAAAGAAGGAATCCCTTAATGCAACGAAGAGTATAGAGGATTGTTCCAACAACCTCGTCCAAAAACCTTTTGTCCTCCGTTAGACACCCCACAAGAAAAATGGGTGGAACCAGTAAGCCAAAAGGGGGAAGAAGGCCAAAATGGAAGGTGATTGTATATGAAGCTGAGACCCAAGAAAAGAAGATTGAGTCCAAGGGTTATCAAGTTTCTCCTAATTATAAGGGGGAAAATCCAAATGACAAGGACACAATAGAGGCATTATCAAAGGAACAAAAAAGTTGCAAATGAGGCCTCAACTTCCTAGTCAAAACCTTCCAAAAATGCTAGGCGTGTCAAAAGCACGCAACCAGCGGAGGTTGCAAAACTTGACGATGCTCTAGTTCAGAAAGGATCCTATACAAGGTCAAGATTGACTGAAAAGGAAAAGATCACCGCTAATCAAAGGTTGGCTATATAGGTAGCTCCTTTAGGTAACAAAGAGCTGGTAGCAACACAAAGCATTAGATATACTCCAACACCTGTATATACTCCTACATCTAAAGGTGAAGAAGAGGAAGAGCCTGATTATGAACCTCTGCCAGAAGATGATATGGTGGATGATGATTATGGTGAAGACTTCATCATTAATTATGGAATTGTGTCAATCTTGCCTACAAAATATGGTAGAGTGTCAGAGGTATCAGAAAATGAAGAAGACTTCACCTCCAACGAGGCGGCTGATGAAAAGACTTTGTGCTAATATGTGATGAATAATGGCGTGGTCGAAGAACAAAAGGCTGTGTTTGAGAAACCAAGTCCAGGGATGTTGTATCATATTAAGCCTTTATTTATAAGGGTAAAGGAATATGACATGCCGATAAACAAAGTGTTTGTTGATGGTGGGGAATCTATAAACTTAATGTCACATGCTTTGTTCAAGAAAATGGTGAAGTGTGGGTCATATCTTCGACCTCACAACATGGTTTTATCAAACTATGAAGGGAAAACCAGTAGTATACTTAGGGTCATTCAGGTTGAATTGGCTGTCGGAACAACAACCAGGTTGACTTTGTTCATGGTAATAAATTCCAAGATAAACTTCAATTTATTTCTTGTCCTTCAATAAATTCCAAGATAAACTTCAATTCAATTCATGATGCTTAAGGATGATGAATGCGCAAAGAATTTTGGAAAAGGGAGCTTAAATCTCAGAAATTGAATTCAAAAAAGATGGGTTCGTGTGAAGTTTTGGCAGGGTGTTTTTGGCTCTCAAAGCTTGAAGAAATTAATGGGGGATGACCCTCTATTTATAGGTAAGTGAATGGGAATGAAAATTGGAAGAAACAAGGAAGTTTGGAGGGAAATTGAGTGAAGGTCGAGCACGAGTGAAGTGCGACTTCATTTCTATCAAAACTCAACCAAATCTTGCGTTTTGGGGTGCTAATCACTTCTGGCAAGTTTTCTAATCAAGTTTAAATAAAAAATGCGCATAAATCATGTGTTTAGAAGTCACATTATGGATTTCAAAATTCTGACTTTGTGGAAAATTCAGTTTCAAGTTACCAAAT